GGACTTTTCTGACACCGGCAGGGCCTGGCCTTGCCCTCCGGGGCTTCCAGAGCGAGGCCACAGGTGGCCTGGGCGGTGAAGGGGCGGACAGCCAGGCTTCCCTAAGCGGAGGGAACGGATGTAGTGAAACGGACTGAAATGGACGTGGAAGGGACTGGCAGGTTCTGGAATGCAGGAGCTCCGCCCAGGGCATGATGGGCAGCGAGGCTGTGGGTGGCGGCGGGGCCGCCCCGTGTGTGGAAACCCTCGGATCTGGGTGTCAGGCAACCAAGGCGCTGAGAGCTGAGCTGAGCTGAGCTGTTTTTAGTGAGACTGAGACATGGATGCCCTGACTACCCTCTTCAATGCAGCTCGCGCGGCAGCGAATTAACCTGTTCTTGGCAGTTCAGGGCAGTTCTCTGCCTTCCCAGGCGGGGGGGGTGGGGGGGGGGGGGCTGTGGCCCTGGCGCGTGGCCCCTCCCGCGCTGTTGGAAGGGGTGCTTTCTCCTTGCCGGGAGCTGCTGGCTGTTGCTGGAATCCGCGCGGGTACCTGCCTCCAGCAGCATCTCATGAGTCTGATTTGCGGCTCGGTGAGAGCTCCGGGTCAGAGCCGGGCAGCGCCCTCGCCAGGACTGGTCTCAGTTAAGAGCAAGCGGGTTCTGAGCAGGGTCCCGAGGAACTTGCCAGAAGGAAAGCAACTGGTCTTTATTTCTCCTGTCCACACGCGTCTCTTCTGGGTGCGGGGGGCCTTCCCGGGCCGTGCCCTCCGGGTCCCAGGCTGTGCTGTTAGAGCAGGCATGGCTTCTGGGTCCCTATGTCTTGGCTTGATTGGCTCCCACGCGGTTGGAAGGCAGGAACGTTCCTTGGGGCCCAGATGAGGAAACTGAGGCCGCGAGAGGCAGAGCGTGCCAGCTGAGGCCTCACAGACGCCTCCCCAGGCCCATGGCAAGGCTCATCCGAGAGGAGGGGCACTGTCCTCACAGGTCACCTGGGCACGGGGCTCCCAGGGGAGTGAGTGACGGGGGTGGGGCGGGTCCGAGGAGCAGATGCTGGAGGGAAAGGAAGTGGCGGGAACAGCGAATGTGACAGCGAGAGCCCTGGGCCGTTTCCTCCCTTAGAAAGGAAGCTGTGAGCTGAGGCTGGTAGGAGGCTGGGGTCAAAGGGGAGGGGCCTTTGAGCACAGGTTCCTAGTTCACATTGGGTCCTGTAATTCCAGGTTTACTGCAGGTTCTTGAGCTAGGAAATGTCCTGGAGAAAGGTTTTTGTTTTTTTTAAATTAAAAAAATTTTTAAAGTAATTTTAAAAGTTGATTTCAGAGAGAGGAAGGGAGAGATAGGAACTTTAGTGATGAGAGAGAATCATTGATCAGCTGCCTCCTGCATGCCCCCCTCTGGAGATTGAGCCCACAACCCTGGCATGTGCCCTGACCGGAATTGAACCATGACCTCCTGATTCATAGGTCGGTGCTCAACCACTGAGCCACACCGGCCAGGCGAGAAAAGGTTTTTTTGAGGCACATTAATTATTCTGGCCCGACTTCCGATGACCAAAGGAGCAATGGCAGACGAGGGGGAAGCAGGAGATGGGTTAAGAGGCTTCTGTAATAACCTACATGGACAAAGTAAGCACTTGTCCTGGGGTGGAGCCCTCTGGATGTGGAGGTCCAGACCTGGCAAACTCCTACTCATCCTCCAAAACCCCAAGTCAAATGTTTCCTCTTTGCCATCACTTTCAGTGATCCCCTCGTCTCCAATTCCAGGCAGAATGTTTTTATAACTCTTAAATACACCTAATTCGGTTAAAGCCTATATTGAATTATAGGAGAGTTATTTGCAAATACATTTACTTCCGCTGATAGATTATGAATCACTAAAAAAGGGGCCACTGGCTAATTTATCTTTATTTCCCTAAAGCCCGTGAGGTCCTCAGAAAATGTTAATTGGTTGAATAAATTAAAGAGAGAAAAAAACAAAAACCAGAGAGGCGTGCGGCTTTAATGACATACCAAGCGCAGGAAGCAAGTCACAAGCCGCCCTCCTTCCCCATCAGGCCGGGCAGTTCCCCGTGA